CAAATCTGTGCTGTTACTATGATCAACTCTAACATAAAATAAGGAGTAGGCCCTCTCTGCTTTTTGTCAAATTTTCCTCCATTTATTTCACCAATTGAAGCCTGACATGAATTAGTTGTAATTATTTGGCTTAATTTTGTTTTCCAAATATTTATAATTTCTTTAAAAAATTCCTTTCTTCTAAAGAGCATGGTACTTACAGAAAGAACAGAGTGTCAATATGCAATCAATCGTGTATAACAAAGAGACCATTCCAATACTTTCACAAAGATTGTAAACATTTTCTGCCGACCCCATCTCCAGCCTCAAAAGATATAACAATAATTTCTCCTTGAAGGTTGCACGAACAGCCCCAAAGAGAGGATAAAAAGAAAAAAGGACAGGAAAAAAGGAAAGAAAAGAGAGAGAAGAGAAAAGAGGGAAATGAAGGTGTGGAAAAGGGGTTAGAGGAAAGGTGATTCCTGTCTCTGCAGGGGATATCTCGATCCGTGAAATCAAGGCATATGGTCACTAGGTGGTTCTGTTAGTTGCATCTTGACTATATGCTTCCCAAGGCTGCCACACTTTGTAAAAGGCTGTTCTGGTAACCTTCAAACCTAAACTGTGAGCTTGTCCATTAGGTAATTGTCTTTTATTTTCAATACTATTCTATTTTTCTCCAGAGTGCTGCAAGAGTAATTTGTTAAATAACCTTTGTTTGTCTGATGTGAACTCCTCTATAGATTTCGCTAATTGAAAGGACCATGGGTCCTGTCTATGTAAAATGGATGCCAACTTATCTTTTACTTACATCCAGTATTGGTGGATCTTGGGACAGGTCCACCAAATATGCTCGGGTCCCTAACACCGTAGCCTACTTCTTGAATTCTCTCCCCAGATAGCTTTGACCTCTGAAAAGAGAGTGATCTCTCACATACTCTCAGGGTGAGTGACTGTGATTCCACAGAGGCCAACGAGCTGGATGATGCAGGATACTGTATGCTCATTCAGGGTATTCAGTTTGCCTGTAGATTACAATAAAAAAAATCCAGTTTACTACTTGTGACGATATGTACCTGATTGTCCGTGTGCTTCTTTTACCTAACATGCGCCATTAATTGCTCCACTAAATGCTACGACTCAGCTTTGGTAGCATATCCACTGTCAATGCAGGATATACTGCAGAGTTGATCCGCGTATGGCATGGTTATTCTATCTAACTAAAAAATTCTAGCAATTCTCTTATGAGCAATCAGATTATAGCACACCTTGGTATTACAGCAAATAAAGAAACAAGCCATGTTCTTTTTGATGTAAGCAGGGGCAAATTACTTTATTTTTCCTTTCACATCAGGATATACAAAACTACACCATTCATTATACATTCCCCTTTTTCCCTGTGCAAGTCCACCGTGACAACAAAAGGTTGCCTTGATCGGCCAGCTAAATATCAAGACCCATCAGTTTGTCACTTATAGTACAGCATTTAACTTAATCAACCTACAAAATACAGGTACACACACACAATACTGAGATGACTATGTACATTGCAAACAGTATCTCATAGCGTCTGCTCACTTAGCCATAAAAACACCATGAGGCGCCGCAAGTTTGTACAGAACAAATTAGGGGGATCAGCCGATCCATCACACTACTTTTCCCCAATAAACACTGCATGGATAACCTTGAACAATATTTATTTTTGTTTAAAAGTGATAGACTCATTATTGTAAAGAACTCCTGAGTAGTGATGTCGCGAACCGTTCGCGAACTTCCCGCGAACGGCTCGCCACGGTTCGTGGCGAACTCCGGTCAGCTGACACATCCCGGCCAATCTCCAGCAGACCCTCCCTCCCAGACCCTCCCACCTCCTGGACAGCATCCATGTTGAAGGCAGCTTCAACATGGATGCTGTCCAGTAGGTGGGAGGGTCTGGGAGGGAGGGTCTGCTGGAGATTGGCCGAGATGTGTCAGCTGACCGGAGTTCACCGCGAACCGCGGCGAGCCGTTCGCAGGAAGTTCGCGAACGGTTCGTGACATCACTACTCCTGAGCATACTTGATAGACAACTACTAAAAAATGATAGAAGATCCACAATCCACTAATATGGAACTTGAGTCTTAGTACTTTTGGAAAGAGATCCCATTGTGATATGTCTACTGATGTAGTGGTGTCTAGTGTGCCATAATCATCTCAGTTATTGTCTCAGTTTTTTATAAAAAGGAGCTGCGCCACTATTTTACTTTGTAAGATCCTTAAAAAAACATAGATGATCCTAAGCATGTGCAATATATTGCTGTAATTATGAGAATAAGCCTTCCGTAGTAAGATACAACTGATGATAAATGTCTAGATGGGGCAATATAAGCATTGTTACATTTAGCTAAAAATCATCTTATTTTATTATTTTGCTAGAATTTAATCGAACTGATATTACAGTCTTTATGAGCTTTACGAAAAGATGCTATTGTTACGTACAACTCAAAACTGACAGTGCGGCTTTAATTTTTTTTATTTTTTTTCTGATACCAACATTCAAAATGCATGCCTTGAAACCATCAACTGTCTCAACTATCTTTATCAATTCCCTTACACAGATTAGTGATTTCATTGTGAATCCAGCTTTTTCTGAAATTGTAAAAATGGATCTTCATATTAAACAAAACTATTTTAAGATAACAGTGTTATTACTATCAGGTAGCCTGATTATATAGCAATATACAATCACGGCCAGCATTAGTCCTTCAGGCGCCCTGTGTGAAATTTTTTTACAGCACTCCTCCCTGGTCACATCCGCTGATCCATGTATAGTGTTTAAATAGGGACTTTATTTAATTAAGTAATAATTATTCAAGAACCAAAAAACAAATATTCGTTCCTCCTTCCCAATTGTTACCTTGCAGGGAAGGGGGCATGCTGATCTCTGGTGGTCCAGTGTGTTGGGAATCTGCTCTGTGTGTAATATTTGTTATGGGTGTATTAACCGTGTGATACTTGGGTGTAGTGACTATGTGTGACATGTGTGATGGTTATTTAATTCAAATTTTGTTTTTAAAAATGCATATAGGGGGACTTCCGGTGGCTAGGAAGGACAGCAGTCGCAGGAATTTGGAGCTCCGCACACCAAACGTCGAAAATCGAACCAAATACTACCCACAGACCCCAAAAAGTCGGCGGAGACCCCCCCAAAGCAAAGCACAATGGGGAAGAAAAATAAAAAACCGGGACCAGACAGACATACCTCTGAACGGACGATCGGAGAAATGTGGAGGCAAGCACGAGGCACGATGGAGCCTAACATGGCGGCCCTTCATGGCGGCTGTTCCGATTTCTCGGACGATCTCTCGGGAGATGCTGAGGACGACTACATGACAGCCCCGGCCATAACGCGGCAGTCCAAGCCAACGGGTACCGACGGGGAGTTGGTAACCACAGGGGTTATGAAAGCACTACTGGCGGATCTCCAAAAGAATATACTAGCGGATGTAACTGCCCTCAGGGGCGAACTGCAGGGCCTGACAGGCCGCATCAGCACGCTAGAGATAACGTCTCAAGGACACCAGCAGGACCTATCGTCCCTGCAACAGGCTGTACTGGACCTGCAAAAACAGAACCAGTTACAAGAACGCCGCTATGCAGCTCAAGAAGATGACAGAAGAAGACAAAATCTAAAGGTCAGAGGGCTCCCTGATGAGATTCCTGAGGCCGACCTGCCACAAGTTGTACAGCGTATGATAGCAGCCATATTGCCAAGCGGACAGGCCACAGCCATCACCCCGGTGGGCCAATTTCGAATCCCTAAACCCCCCAGAGCACCACCCTCCGCGACAAGAGACACTATAATTACTTTCCGAAATGGGAAGGAAAAAGCGATGATTCTCTCAGCCCTCCGAGGTAAAACCCCTATGCAGTTTGAAAACAAGGGACTGACCTTTTTTGCTGACCTGTCCGGTAGCACCCTGGCCTGGCGCAGATCGCTCCAACCACTTACCTCTCTGCTCCAACGGCACGGCATCAACTACCGCTGGCGGAACTCCAGATCTCTCAGTGTACAGCAAGGAACGGCCTATCATCTGGTTCACGACATTGAGGAAGCCCCTGACCTCCTGCGGACCCTGGGCATTCCACAGACCTCGCTCAATCAGGAAAGGCTCCTTCACCCGACCTCCCCAGCGCAGACCTGGGACCCGGCAAAAATCAACTTGTTTATCCCAAGAGGTTCGACCCCTGACTCCTACGCCGCGGTCACTACCTAAACACGACATCCCTGGGGATATACAATCTTTGAACGCTGAATGTAAGTCACCACAGCAGACACTCCTGAGACACCTATACCACAAGTTATTCGCAGCCCCGGATTGCAGCAACTCACGCTCATCCCACAGCCAGTCTGGATAGCACCTACTCTTACCAACGTGACTGACACCCGCAGACACACACTGGCGGACTAGCCAGAGGTCTTCGGACGGACGATGCCATTGACCGGCCGAATCCAACACACGTGGGCAACTTGCTCTCACGGCTTAGTTCGTTGGACATCCCTGGCAAACTTTGGGACTGTGCCGGGTTACGTTGCACCTGACACCCGACAGAACTCTGGCAGCACGGCACGAAATATTTGCACATGCAGGCCTATAACCCAGCCGAGAGAAAGGTCGGATGACCGCAAAGAGGGGAAGGGGGGACTAGCCGAAGTCCACAAACTTCTGTTAACAGAGACCTTTTTATTTATTTATTTATTTATTTTTTTTGCCTTTTTGGAGCTCCCACGATAACGCAGCAGAGCATTCGTTTTTCTTTGCCTGTCTGGACTAGATAGCGATCACTTACCAATATCACTCTGTCATGTATGCCGCGTCTGTTGCCATGATAAATGTAGATTTACATACCACAGTGTGTCACTAGCCTAACATGTATGGACGTATCTATAGCTACAATTCCAGAAACCCTATGGCCCATGTTACAAACGTGTTTAATTTTTAGTTCTGGTTAGTTTGTTCAGAAATATTCTTTGCATGTCGCATGTATAGAGAGGCAGCGCACGATACCTAGCCTGGCCACTCTGCACGCAACACCCACTCACAGTTGGACGACTTAATACCACACAGACAGGTCACGTAGTGACTGATATTAAACCGGTCAATGATCAGGTCGCCACTGCCATGACACCCACACACATATAGACAGAGCTCTCAGAGAGCCCAGTGATTCCTCTTGCGATGTAATTATTTCCTAGCCCTTCCCCTTTGACTTCTACAATGACTCTAAGGATGCTGAAACTAGGAGTCCTGTGCCGATATGTCCAACATAGTTATGAACAAAAGGGCGAACTGAATTAACCAACCAGAGTAGCCTACCCACCCGCTCATTTACTCAACATACTCCACTACAACCCCCTAGATCAGCGGTCACTCATGTTTTAAGCACCTGCCTAGACTCTCAAGCAGACTAGCTTGTCCCAGCACTCCCAATATTGCAATAGTATATCGCAATGTAACTTATCTCACACACACCAGAATCTACACTGCAATTAGCATTCCACTATAGTTCAGCCTGTTATACTGTTATTGCTTATATATTTTAAAAATGTGCATGCACTCTTGCCACTGTTAAGCATGTATAGCCATCTGTAAATACGCTGTTGTGGCGTTGGAAACTGACATGTAACCACCTGCACAATAAAAATAAAGAATTTAAAAAAAAAAAAAAAAAAATGCATATAAACCCATCTGTGAATGCAGTTGTGTATTTTTGCAGTGTCACATGCACACAATCCCACAGTCAGACACACAGTCACATGCACACAGTTATACACATACACTGTCAAAAACATTCACATGCACACAGTTATACACATACATTGTCAAAAACATTCACATGCACACAGTACCAGGCACATAGTCACTCGCACACTCTCACACACAGGTTTTCAGGCAGCCACATACAGTCACAGACACACACACACACACACACATTATGGGAACTGGAGGAAGAGTGGATTCACTGCAGTCCCTGGTATGTAGTTGTTAGGGAAGCAGGGACTCCTTCCTGCTTCCCTTCAATGTGAAGCTGTAACCGGGCAGTGGGTTCAGGCTACATGCAGTTCTGCCCCCGCTGCCCATTTAGCTCCATCCACATAATAGTTAGCTCCGCTCCCACATCTCTTACTTGCTTTTGACATTCAGTCTCCATGTGTGTGAGCTGTATCAGCTGTCTTGTTCCCTGTCGGGCCGCACAGCTCGCACACACCCAAGGCCAATGTATGTACTATGACTGATTATGATAGAAATTTTAGGGAAACTTAGAAATTCAACAAACAGTAGGAAAGGATCAAAACATATATTGTAATTATAATATATCTTGGAGAAAAAAGGAAACTATAAACAAACAGATATATACATTTTAACACAAACTTTAAAATAGATTATTTTCAAAAAAAAAAAAATAGAATATTAAAGAGTCATTTTATTGAACTCTGTATTGTAGCGAATTGAAATCCCAGTGGCAAAATGCATGCTAGAATAGCTGACCTGGACTATGCAATCCCTACAATACAACGTTTAGCCAATAGATCCCCAAGTGGAGGTTTTGGATTGTCTCCCAATGCCAAGAGCACTCAGGATGCAAGTTAGATAAATCACTTGACCTCTACTCTAGGGTTGCACTGTTCGTTCAATTTCTATGATGACAATGGTCTATTTCTTAACAGCAAGATAACTTTCATCTTGTTCTGAGAAACCTGTCCAGATCCATTAAGGCATAAAAATCTTTATCACCTGCCATGTATTTTGGGAGTATAGTGGTCAGTAATTCGACCATGTGAAGGTGCTTTAAATCAGGAAGAAGAAAAAATTAGTTGGTAGCTTGAAATACACCTGGCTAGGGGAGGATTTAGTGAAATGCAGATCCTCACTGCTGGTTAGTTGTTTATTCTCTCTCTGTGTCAATGTGTCCTAAATGCCAGTTATTTCATCTGTCATTTACTGATATTTGAAAGCAGTAAAGCAAATCTTTATTTAAACATCCAGGATATCCAGCATACATATAGGAATGTAATAATTTCTGGACAGTTTTTGGTTATGTCTTGAGTCTGGCATGTGTAAATGATCCTGGATTAAGTGGATTTGTGTGCTGTCTACATTTTCAAGTATTTACAGAGAATAATAAATATCAAGTTGATCTAGTCCACTGTTTTCAATCTTTTTAATTTTACCAGAGATCCCGAGGTAATAAAAACCTCAAGATAACAGTTATCGGGAGTTTTGTTATTTAAAATTAAATAACTCTTTATACCATTTTAGTACACAGAAAAAAAAGTTGTTTTTTTTAATACGTTCGTCCCATCCAAAAAAATGCCAATTTTGAAGGGATAATCCAGACCCTACTTTATGTGTGTAGAGTGTGTCCTCAATTTTTCAATTAAGAAAAAGTGCAGATTTTAATAACAATTGGCACTTTCATAAATTAACTCAGTTACACCCCCACAAGCTGTCAATCAGGCAACCAGTCTTTTTACTTCCTAGTTGTTTAGCTCAGTAGAACTAAACTCAAGAGGCAGGCAGTTGCCCAGACCACCTGCCTTGCAAAGACTTCTCAATCAGCTGCATTGGGAACTCTGTGATTAGACAGCCATAGAAAGTCTGGGCGAGGTTGTATCTGTCGCCTTGACTGCTACCACTAATAACCAAATTTTCACCTCGCAATGCTCTGTGACTGATACTCCAAGCATCCATTAATGTTTACACTGCCTACCCCTCTCTGACAGCTGTTCCCCCTTCCACTATTCAATAATTTAATTCAATCTCATATTCCCATTAGTAATTTATCTCTGACTTTTAATCCTGGTAAAACATTCATCAGGAAATGGGGTCCACATACCCTAATTTGTCTTCTCTCACTTGTTTATTCCAGAACCATGCTTACCCAAGATAATGCCTCTGAAATCTTCCTGACCTCAGAAAAGTTAAAAATATATTTATTCCTTATGTTTTTGCTTGATTGTTTGCAATAAATATTGAATAAGAGAGATAATCAAATAGAATAATAGAAAAAGGTTTTGAGTCTCATAAGCTTTCTACTGTAGATTCTTATAAATGCATCAAGGTTAATGATTTTATTTTGTTGTGATAGAGGTAATATGTAACATTTAGCCATATGTACTGTGCACCAGAAAAATGTTTGGCTCCCATGTGTCAGAGAAACTACACTTGCCCTGCAACTGTTGCTTTAGTGGAAAATTAAAATCAATGAACAGTTAGATGGAGAAAAGGGTTGCAAAAAAACTGTGCATTTCTCTCTCTCATCCGAGTCTATACTTCAAACACGCGAAAGAAATACAATTTCTTGTTTTCCAAATGTATCGGAGCATATGTAATATAATTTCCAATGGTAGCATTTGCAGGAAATTTACTTTGGTATATGGGTATACGTAATTTAAATGTAAGTAAATCAGGACCTGTCAAAACAGGTGCACATCAACATATTTGGCAGGCTAAACATTTTAAAAAAAAAACAAACTTTTTTTAACCACTTTTTTTTTTTTTTCTAAACCCATATTTTTTTACCTTGGATAAGTTTATTTCTAATTTTTTCATAGATCTTCAGCTGGTTAAGGATATAATTAAATTTGGGGTGCTTACAGTATTGTCGGAAACAGAATAAAGAACATGTGAATACATTATACATATATAATAAATAATGCTAATGCGCTAAGAATTGTAGTCATGTTTAGTATAATTTTGTAGAGGAATGTAATGTTTCAAAACATTAACAGACTGCAGACATGTTATCGATGTGGTCTGAGGTCTGTTACATTGACATCTGCAAGTATTGCACCTTTTTGTTTTCTAAAAGGAGGTAGCATCTGCTTCCATTTGCTCAAATTACTATGGATATAAATGGGAAATGTGTTCATTAATGTTGTTTTGCATGTTCAATTGGAATACCAGAATGGTCTGCATGTTTCATGGAATAACTTGATCCACATGGTGGAAATAACAGTCAAATCTCAGGATATTCTTCAAACAAAAATGCCTTATGAAAGTTTAGTATCTCTATCACCATGTGTTTTCCCTTTAGTTCATACACATATAGAATTCATTAGTTGTATAATGTTTTAAGAATGTTTTTGTCTTCAAGAACATGCCATCTACATAATTATGTGTCATTGCTGTCCAGTGTTGTGTGGCATAAACATGTATCTACCAGATCTGTTGCTGGTCATTATATCAGGAATTTAGTCGCTTAGTTGGCAGGTCCGTCTTTAACGCAGGGCAAATGGGGCAGCTGCACCGGGTCCAGTTACAACTGGGGGCCAGAAGCAGCCCTGGCCATTTCTCCCCCCCGGCTGGTAACCCACACACTAAGGAGGCCCACCAGGTGGCCCATGCACAGAGGGCCACCGGTGGGCTTCTGTTAGCAGGGACCCGGTCGCTCGCTGAGGTGCTTTAACAGCGTGACCTGCCCCCTTGCTTTTCGGCAGCAGGCTGGGAGGAAGTGACGGCCGTGCGTCACTTCCTCCCACAATGGGAGGAGCACGCCATGGGAGAAGAGTAGGCAGAATCAAGAATGGCTGGGTGAGAGAGCCAGACCCCAACTCGCAACACCTTCAGCCACCAGGAAAGCCAGCATCCAAGGTAGAAAACTGGAGGGTGGGTTTAAATGTGTAAAATTTGTGTGTGTGTGTGTGTGTGTGTGTGTGTATTTAAACATCCAGGATATCCAGCATACATATAGGAATGTGATCATTTCTGGACCGTTTTTGTCTTTAGTCTGGCATGTGTAAATGATCCTGGATTAAGTGGATTTGTGTTCTGTCAGTGTGTGTGTTAGTATGTCTGTGTGTGTCAGTATGTCTGTGTGCGGGTGTGTGTCAGTTTGTCTGTCTCTATATGTGCCAGTATATCTGGGTGTATGTGTTAGTGTGTATATATGTGTGTGTATCTGTATGAAGTCTGTGTGTGTTTCGGTGTATCTATGTGTGCGTCTCTATATTTGCATGTGTGTCAGGCGTGTATCAGTGTGTATATCTGTGTGTCTGCATGTGTTTCAGTGTGTATATATCTCTGTGTGTGTACATGTCATCTCAGCATTCACACACTAACACTACACACAAATATACCCCTGCATTCAAACGTCAACACTACGTACAAACACACATCTGTGTTACACACCAAAATTATATGCAAATACACCCCTGCATTCAAAAACCAACACTACACATAAATACATGCTTGCAGTCACGCAAACACCACATACAAACATATTTCATACAAAAACCTGTTTACATTCAAACATACAAAAACTGCTTAGTGCTAAATACAAACCTGCAAACATGAGTAAATGGTAGAGCACCAGCTGTCAATGCATTTCTGGAGTTGCACAACAGATGGGGATCTACTTGTTAATTACCCGTGCTATAGGGAGGCCCCAAAAAATTCTTGCACCTCTCTACTGCATAGGGGTGGTGGACGTTATTGCACGCCTGGGGAGGGGGGACAGGGTCAGGGGGCCCAAGCAAATGCTTTGCCCAAGGTCCAGTCAATATTAAAGACGGCCCTGCTAGTTGGGATATTCATGTCATTCATGCTCCAAAGCACGTAATTG